TCCCCCGAGAACTGCAAGCAGGTACTGCCCTTTCTGCAGGCAACCACCTGTGGCTGCTGCCATGCTCTACCAGGGGAAGGGAAAGAGTGGGTGAGACGTCACAGTTTCACCTGCAGAACCTGGAAATTAATTAATAAAATATATTATGTCTGCCTTAAAAGCTGTTATGACAGTGCTGGGCTACGTGTGCCTCTGACGTTTCAATACATGAGTTGGTTGCTCCCGCACTGCTCCACACACCCCTAACAATACTGAGCTAAGGAAAGATGTCAGTTGGACATCATCACTTCTGTTTCACAAACATGAGAAATTTAATGCTAATCTTCACAGAATCTTCTGCCTAGTGCAGAAAATCTGTCAGAGAAAATTTAAAGATGGCTTGGATACTGTTACTTCTTGTATTTTCATTTGGCTTCGCTTTGGAACCACAGTAAAAAATCTGAACTTTTTTTAGAAGCAAAATTAAAGTATTAATGAAGCTTTCCTTTTCTTTTTCCCCCATGTTTTTTCAGGATTTCTTTTTCATCAATTCGTGTGTAGATGGTGTATTTTTTCCAAAGAGCCCCAGGCAATTACTATCTGAAAAATCGTTCAGTGCAGTCCCATATATGATAGGAGTAAATAGCGGTGAATTTACATGGGGACTGCCTATGGTAAGAGACTTACAGTGTTGTTACTTAGGTATCATTTTGTAAACATAAGATTTTCGACTAAATACGATTCTCTGTATCATGCAGATGATGAAATATCCTCCTTTCGTGGATGGTCTGGATAAAAATACTGCACGTGAAATTTTACAGAGCTCCTTAGTGGTATCACTTAAGGTAAGAGACCATTTTCAGATTAACGCAGTGCTGCTGTTTCACTGTGTTTGCACTGCTGGAGGGATATATTCCACAGGCCAGCTTTGTTCTGCTGAACAGCTTCCTACCACGGGGCAGTGGTGGGCACCAATGTGGTGTGTTCCTGTTAGCTCTAGCGAGTGAAAATACCCTCTGCATTTCCAGCCTCAGTGCCCCTCTTCTTAAAAAGGAGTGCTGTGGAAATCCAGGGGTGATTCAGGTACCTAAACACATGTCTCTTGTGACGCTTTAGATATCCCTGGGTTATCCAAGACATGCACAGTCCCTGCAGGTCTGACACAAGACCCATAGAACACCACCTAATAAAGCACTGCTGGGAGACGAGGAAGAGCAACTCGAGATGTTTAGGATGCTTGAGGTTTGGCCTCCCTGTACTTTACAAATCTCTCAGCTTTCTGGTGTCTTTGTGCTCTCCTGACACTACTAAGTATAGGAAAATACAGGTTAAAAGGTAAGAATTAGAGACTCTGTAGTACTTGCAATGGATCATTCGGTGTCACGGGCATCCATCATGAACTCAGAAAGGGAGTAAACTATGGTCATCTACAACAATAAATGGATTTTATGAAATCCAGAGGATTTCTTTGCTCTTGTGAGGGTTTATTTCCTTAGAATGGACAATAATCAGCATCATAGGCTGCTGCTTATCTAAAGATGTTTGGTCTTTAGATCTCGCCTATCTCTTTTCCCTGAGAACACCCATATCTGGTAGCTGTGTAACTGCAGTCCTGAGCTCTGAGCCACACTCTGACAGTCGAGGGCTTTCTCTGAGAGGTAGTATTTGTGGTTTAGCCAGACACATGCATGTGCCACACCCAGTTAGTGCTGTTGCTCTTTGTAACGCTCAGGATCATTATAACCACCACTTTTATTGTTCTTTCAGGGTGTTACATCTGCAGTTGTTGATGGGCTGTACAGTGAATACCTAGGGAATGCAGACAGCCCTGCTCAGGTGCGAGACAGCCTTCTGGAAGCACTGGGAGATATCTTCTTTGTGTTTTCATCCATTGAAGTGGCGAAATTCCACAGAGGTAATTCAGCATCAGGAGAAGAAATGCAGAATTGTCAGGCAGGCTGTGGTGTGGACAGTACATGTCACACTTCATGACCCACAGAACTGATAGTGCTTTCTCTTAACCAAAACAGCTGGTAAGGACAGTTTATCCTCTTTGGGGGCTCTCAGACTAACACTCTTGTGTATCTACCAGATGCTGGCAGCCCAGTCTACTTCTATGAATTTCAGCATCGGCCGAGTGAGACGGAAGGTGTTTTACCGGACTTTGTAAAAGCAGATCACGGAGCTGAGGTCGCCTTTGTCTTTGGAAAGCTCTTCTTAGCTGGTGACGTATCCATGCTTGCTAAAGTGTTCCTTTTAAAGCATCCTTATCACCCATTTTACTTACTGGAGGGCTTTAGAATAGGCTTTCTCTCTCACAAGCATTGCAATGAACATAATAATTTTCTGTCTTTAGTAGCAGATACTTCTAATGCAATCAGTCATCTGCAGCTCTCTCTTCGAGAGTAACAGGTAGAACTGGCCACAGCCTATTGGCATTGATAGAGCTGCTACTGATTATCCAGTTTCTAATGCTGCCATTTCCTCTCTCACTTTGCAGGACATGCTACAGAAGAAGAAAATAAACTTAGCAGAACTGTTATGAAATACTGGACTAACTTTGCTAGAAATGGGTGAGAATCCTAATGCTATTTACGGCTCAAGTTTGGTCTGTGCTGCCTGAGACATACTTATGTGCCTGAAGCAGTACTTAATGTGGTGGTTCCTAGAAATTTGCCAGAATTTAAGATAAATATTGAGGCAAATTATTTCTCTTCTTAACGTCTTTTAAATGTCAGAAAACTAACACGAGCTCAGATTATGTGATTCTGGGCAGTGAGAGGCCAATGGAAAGCTAACTTTTCCTTCTGTTGTTTCCAGAAATCCCAATGGAGAAGGCTTGGTCCATTGGCCTCAGTATGATCTGGATGAGAAATACCTGGAGATAGACCTGAAGCAAAAGGCAGCACAGAAATTCAAACAAGACAAAATGAAGGTTTGGACACACCTCATGAAAAAAATGATGAGTGAAAGGAGAGAACACACAGATTTGTAAGAGCTGCAGAGGGTACAGTTTGCTTTGAAGACCCAAAGTAAAGTCAAACAAAATCAGTTTGTCAGGATGCAGAGTTATAATCACCTTCTAACTCACTGTCATGTAATCTGTTGGCCTGGTCACAGTGAAAGAGGAGAAACAAAGCAAATTTAGAATGTTTGTTGGACTAAAAATCACTATTTAATGGAGCAAGCAGAAAAAGACCTTTCAGGCTCAAACAGACCATGGATCTACTCAGTGGATATCAAAACTGAATATCGAGGAGGGAATTGGCAAATAAATTGAAATCTTAAGAAATTATTTATACAGAATATGTCATAAGTGTCAGACTACCTTTTATGCTTACTCCCCTCTGCTTTCAAAAGAGCATGGTCACTTTTGCTTCTTATAACCTCTTTCCAGTTTCTTTAATTGGAAATAGCTTGTAGGGAGCAGAGCACCCATCAAATGACATCTGTGAGACTTCTTCAGCATCTCACAACTGAGGACAGAAAACCTCTACTTGTTTTGTTGGTTTGTGAATTGTTATAAATAAACGTTGCTTTTAATTTTTTTGGAACTTCCTTTTCTTTCGCTTAACTGATCCAGGCTAATTCCAAGAGGTTAAACCACACCCAGCAAGCCAGAAAGGTGCCCAGTTTCTTTCTTCAACCTGAAGGGTCTCAGGGATGAATTTTTCAGGTTTCTTTGCAGAACCTGAGCCTCAAGGCTGACTTGCAAAAAACCCAGCTGTTACCGTTGCTTGCAAAAAGCCATCATTAAGTAACAGGTAATTGCAGCAACTGGAGTGCTGGACATTTTATTCCTCCCCTTGATTTGGTCTGAAGTAGCCTTTGTGTCCATTATTGGTTTGTTAGTTGAACCTGTGTTTCTGTCCTTGTAGGTTCACAAAAATGGGTTTTTTAAACAAGATACAAGAAATTCTGTGTCTTTGAGAATGCAAAGTCATAAGTATAACATCAGTGGGAAAGGGAGGCCTGGTATTTTACTAGGCACATATGATAACAAAGGACTTTCTGACTGTGAGAAGAAGCATTTTGTCCATGTGTCCACTTTAAAACCCAAACATAAAGAATGGCACGGTGTCAAACAGCTGAGAAAGGAGCAATGCCAGAGCCACGATGTGTAGGCTACCATTAAGCAGCGGGTTCCTACATTATACTCCAAACCTCAGTTTATTTTACAGCTTAAATATTAATGGTACTTGGTACAGACACGCAATTCAATTGTGTGACAGTGCATATACATTAAATACAAATGGATGCACTGTGCACCTCTATTTGCAGTTTATTGAGTTCATAATATTCAGCAAGAGCTGCTGCTGCTGTTCTGTTTCTCACAGAAGCCTTAATCTTTTTTTTTCTTAATGTATTAACTAGACATAATTTCTATAATTGCCTTTCCAAGTTGGTCACCAAGTTTGTTATGTGCCAGTCCTGCTTCTCAGGACATCTTATTGCAAAATGTGGAATATGCAAAAAAGGATGTTCTTTGAAGTTTAATCTTTGTATACTTTAAGGAGGGAGATTTAATCTGTGGAACAGAGAGCAGCCAGCAAACGCTAAGTGATGTCCAGGTATTAGTTAGAAAGACAAATTACTTGAATTACTAGAATTGCCTTGTTAAGGTTGTTAAGGTTGAGGGCTGGATGTGTTTCAGTGATCTCAGACTTAGGGGAGGTTACCAAGGCTTGGCAAGAAGGATGTACCACTGATTTGGGCACCCAAAGAATGCAGAACTTACAGGTCACAAAGACATTTGGCCCATAAAGATAAAAAAGAAACGAATAAAGACAACTCAGCAACTGTGCTGAAATCAGGTCCAACTGGGTAGAGGGTAATTCCAGCAGGGGCAGGTCACGACCACCGACTGACCCAAAAGAAGAGGAAGACTGAGCACGGGGTTAACTAGCATGAGAAGCGAGGTTATTAACGAATAGAACACTAATTAATAACAGGTAACTTGTAGCCAAGGAACATTAGTGCCTTCGTTTGCTAAAGTGTATAAACAGTGAAAAGCTTCGACAGTCGCTGTGCGCCCCTTCCTGAGGAGAGCTGTAACTAACGGCGGTGTCAGAGCTGTAAATAAACAACGGCGGTGTCAGAGCTGGAAATAAACAACGGCGGTGTCAGAGCTGTAAATAAACAACGGCGGTGTCAGAGCTGGAAACAACGGCGGTGTCAGAGCTGGAAACAACGGCGGTGTCAGAGCTGGAAACAACGGCGGTGTCCGCGCCCTGTGCGCGGGCCTGGAAAGGATCGGGACAGGATCCCGTGTGGGCACAGCCCGTGTTCCGGGCGGGTGTGTCAGGGCTCGGGGCCGGGAATGGATGGATCCCGTGTGGGCACAGCCCGTGTTCCGGGCGGGTGTGTCAGGGCTCGGGGCCGGGAATGGATGGATCCCGTGTGGCACAGCCCGTGTTCCGGGCGGGTGTGTCAGGGCTCGGGGCCGGGAATGGATGGATCCCGTGTGGGCACAGCCCGTGTTCCGGCCGGGTCTGTCCGTGCCCTGTCAGGGCTCGGGGCCGGCGCCGCCACAGCCCGCGGGCACGCGCACGGCCGCGCGCAGGCGCAGGGCCGGCTGGGGCCGCCATGTCGGGCGCGCCGCCCGTGCTGCTCGGGCTGCGGGACGCGCCCATGGCCGGGCCCGCTGGGCCCGCGCCGCTCCCCGCGTGGGCCACCAACAAGCTGGGCGGCTCCGCGGTACGGCCGGGGCCGGGGCCGGGCCGGGCCGGGCGAGTCCGGCCGGGCCGGGGGGCGGATGGCGGGGCCTGGTGCGGCCGGGTGTCCGGGGGCGGACGGCGGGCCCGGGCTGGTGTCAGCGCCGTGCCGGTGTTGCAAGGCCGGGATGGGCTGGGCGGGACGGGGCTGTGCCGGTCGGTGCCGGCCGTGTCTCAGTGCCGTGCTGAGGCTGTGCCAGTCGTGCCCCAGTGCCGTGCTGAGGCTGTGCCGGTCGGTGCCGGCCGTGCCCCAGTGCCGTGCTGAGGCTGTGCCAGTCGGTGCCGGCCGTGTCTCAGTGCAGTGCTGAGGCCGTGCCTCACTGCCCCCCGTTGCCGTTGCCGTTGCCGTTGCAGGACTGGCCCGGGCGGGTGCGGGCGGCCCCGCGGTGCGGGCGGTGCGGGCGGGCGCTGTCGCTGCTGGTGCAGGTGTGCTGCCCGCTGGAGCGCGGCCCCGCGCACCGCGCCCTGCACGTGTTCGCCTGCGGTGCTCCCGGCTGCGGCCCCGCCGCGCACAGGTGAGCCCGGGCGGGTAACCCGCGGTGCTGCTGCTGCTCGTGTGCCTGCGGCTCTGCCCCTCGCTCACCCTGTCTCTCTTTGCCCCACGCCGAAGCTGGAAGGTGCTGCGCTCCCAGTACTCGCAGGAGGAGGAGAGCCGAGCCCAGCCCGTGGCACAGGTACCGCCCGCACCCTGCCCGCGGCTGGGGGGAGGCTTGGACACAGAGCCACAGCTGAGCTGGATGAGCTGCACGTTTTATGTCCCGTTGTTTAAATGACCACCACCTTTCTTCAGAAGCTGTGCTATACTCCAGCTTCCAGTCACATCTGGGGGTGTGTGAACTAGTCATGGTCACAGAACTTTTACACCATACTAGAAGATTTACTAGAAGATTAACTTCCATCTGTGATCTATGTTAGGGTGGTTTTAAAGTGGAAGTCACACTTCGATTGTATGGTCAAAAGTGATATTTAATACTTTAATTAATGGCACTAACAAAACATTATTTTTCAGCTTCAGATGCTTGTTTTACTTTTTTATTTACTGTTATCAGACCTTTAAGATGTTTTCTTTATTTTCTCATTTAAATTTAATTTTTAAAAATTTGCCATGACTTTTAATTAATCCAATTGAATTATTGTTAATGTACTTGTGCGGAAAAACTGCACGTTGGCTTAAGCAGATTGGAAGAGGCAGGTGGCAGTCAAATTAGTGAAAACGGGCAGGAACTGTTTATTCAGCTGGTGCACTTGCAACGTGAAATTTTGGTCTGTAAATGAGCTTTACTCTTGACAAATGGTGGTGGTGTCATTATTGTTGTTATTACTTCCTTCCACTTTGTGCCCTTGGACTCAGCTGTGCAGCAGTAACTGTGCTGCAGGTGGATGTCCCCAGTCAGCTGGCAGGGCCATGGCAGCAGGATGCACAAGGGCCACTCAAACAGCTGAGGAATCCTTGTTCTGGTTCTGCAGGGTGAGATGTTTCTTGCCATAACGGTTTTGATGTGAAAAGTAAATGTGTGAGTGATGGGAAGCAACCCTGAGGAGAATACGTGAAATAACAGCACTGGGTTAAGGTTTCAGTTTTCTCAGCTGTTGGGAAACTGTTTGAAGTGCTCTGGGGTGGATGACTCGACAATGTCCTTTTCCCTTCTTTTTGGGTTCTCAGAAACAAGGCTCAAGCTTTGCTGCGAAGGACTGGTGTGAGGAGGCAGATGACTGGGGAGCCGGTGATGGAGCAGAGCCTCCTGCATGTGCCTCCCTGCTTGGCTTAGGGGAAGCAGTGAGCAGCTCCCTGTCCAGGGAGCTGGACTGTGCATCCCAGCTCCAACAGCTCTGCCTGGCTGAGCCTGCAGAGGGCTCAGGCCCCCGGAACACACGTCCTGCAGCCAGGGAGGAAATGGCAATGGAAACACCTGATCCTGCCCCTGTGTTCCAGCCCTTTTATATCAGTGTGGTGGATGAGGAAGACTACAGGGGCTTCCTGGATACACACCATGCAGATGAGCTACTGAAGGAGTATCAGCAGAGAGAGGGCGTTGATTTGGAGCAGATGATGTCAGAAAGGTGAGAACAGGTTTGGATTTCATGGTAAAACTGGAGGAATTGTGTAGTTTCCTGTGTGGTGACTGATCTAAATGGGACTCCCACTAAACCTGAATGACTTTGTTTGGAACTGGCTCCTTCAGGAGCGCTGGTTTGTTGGAAGAGCAGAACAGTGCACCCAGTTCTGTCACATTTTGAGTTTTCCTAAGATGCATCAACTTCTGAGCAGTTGGAATGTTCTTGGGCTCTAAATAGAGCAGAGGACAGTCAGTCTCTGGATCCAAACCAGTGTGGCTGAAACAATATCTGTGCTGGGTTTATAACAATATCAGTGGCATGGGTTTATATCGTGACAATTGACACTTTTTCTTTACAAGGCCAAAGCTTTTCTTATGTTGCAATTGCATTTTCCTTGCAGAATCTGCAGAGAGCACTTGTCAGCAGTGGTGTTCCTGTTGAGTTTTGTTGGCCTTTATAGAATCATAAAACCCTAATTATGTTTGATCCAAAATTAAAAAGACAACATCATAATTTAAAAACTAGAAAAGCTTTTGAGAAGTTACTAGAGGGTTTTCTGAAGGAATAAAGCTGGTGGATTTGAATGCCCTGGGATGGTTTGAAACAGTGTTAGTAATTGTAAGCCACCAGAAACTGAAGAACCAGAAGCAAAATATTCACTTGCAACCCCGAAAAGAAATTGTTTCCTAACATGTATAGTTTTGTTTAGTGTACTTAGTATAATTTAATGTGAGTGTATAGTTATTGAAAACATGCATGTCATACAGAAAACCTTATTGGACATCTTGTTTCTTTCCTTTTTTGTCTTACAGCTTTGCAGGTGAAAGTGGTAATGAAAAATATGAGAAGAGTGAAGTCAAGAGCTGGGACCACACGTTCTATAAATTCATGAAAAGAATATCTGTGTGTCCTGAACAGATTCTGAGGTAACCTGGTTGTAGTGGGAGATACAGATTATAGCCTTGGATTGTTAGTACATCAAATATTTCATTGGAAATACATCTATGCTTCTATTTCTTCATCCAAAAAGATTATTATGGTTGTTGCGTGCCTGTGTGGTCAGACTTCAGTCCCTGCCTGGGCTTTTTTTGTACAAAGCCTGAGCAGATGAGAAGCAAAGCAGGATCAGAGGCCCCAGCTCTGGCTATGGGAGACTTCTTTGACACCAGACCTGCTGAGAACAGACCCAGACTGTCTTTAAATGCTCACTGAAATCCAGACACAGATTTTGAAGAGCCAGTTTTGAGGTGGAAGTATGGGAAGTGAGGTGGAACAGTGGTGTGCTGTTGGGATAGGTTTCTGAGGCTACCTCCTCCTCTCAAAGTTTGTAACCTGTTTGTAATTTCTAATGTCTCAGTCCTTGAGATGATACTCAATTCAGAAATTACTTGTTTAAAAGCTTCAGTTCTGTAACTTCTGGTGCTGATGCCCTGCAGTCTTCAGGTGTTGTAAGTCTGTTGCTTTTCCCAGGACAGAAGCAGTGTAACCTCAGAGCAGCTACTCTCCCAAAAGAGGAGGTAATTCTGGCTGAGAGCGTGCCAAGGAGGTTAAATCATAAGTCATTCACAGGACCAGATAATACACAAGGTTTTTCTGGATCACACCAAGTGTTCAGAGTCCAGTGCTGCCTGGCTGGTCAGGCTGGCTCAGTGCAGTGACAAGACTTTGGTTTATCAAGTTTCCAGAACCAAGTGGAACCAGCTGGTACCTTTCTGATGGGAGCTCAAGTCTGAGGGACTGGTTACACATATAAGAAACATTGGGGACTTAAATTAATTAACTATCAAGGGTTATACAGGAGATGTAGTGATGCAGAGTGCAAGTAGCATTTCTTTCAGCTTTTCACTGGATCTATCACTTTGCAGTATTGTGCTCTTGGAATTTTTTATTCCAAAACATCCCCTCTGGTGATACCTGGGATGTAAAATATTAATTATAAATAATAAAATATTTTTAATGGTTAACATTTAAATATTATTAGAATATTTTAAATGTTAAATATTAATATAACACTCATTATAATATTTCCTTTGCCCTCCCTGGGTTATGTCAGTGCTGTTGGACTCCTGTTGCTCCTGGGCTGTGGATCTTGTTGAGCTTCAGCAAAGCACACACTCTCCTGTTTGGTGTTCAGTGGAAACCACCCTTGCTCTGGGGTTCCTGATAGTTGTGAGGCTCTGAGAGCTCTTAGAAATAGAACACCAGTTCTGAGCCATAACTGCAGTGGGTTTGAGACCTACTCTGTGTTGAATCTTTTCCTGGAATCTTACCTTTTACTGCTGCTGTTCAGGATTCCATTCCCAGGAAAGTGTAGTTTCCTTAATTAAACGAGTCAGGTACAGCATATTTTGGAGGTGTCAATTCAAAGCATTTATCTCCTTAAACCCAGGTCTTTCCTAAAGATTTTCCAAGTGTTGACCTTCCAGCTGTTTCCCCCTCCCCATCTTTATTCTTTGTTTAATGACTCTTTTGAAGCTTAGACAGCGATTCTGACTCCTGTGGCTTTTATTTCAAGCAAGTGAAAAACCTGAAGACAGTTGCCAAGATGTCAGTTTTCCTATCGAATTTAGGTAGTAAAAAATAATTCTGTGTTCCTTCCTGTCTTCTCTCAGGTACTCTTGGGGAGGGCAGCCCTTATTCATCACATCTCCTCCAGCTGACATCACCCAGGGCGTTCCAGCCTGCAGTGTCTGTGGGAGCAGCAGAGTGTTTGAATTGCAGCTGATGCCAGCCCTGGTCAGCCTGCTCCACACTGACTCAGGTGCTCTGCCTTAGGACAGTCTGGGCCAGAGACTGGCACCTTTTTGGTGTTTGGGATTGTTTCTTTACACCCACCTGCACTGATGTGCTTCAGTGCAGTGATCATGTCCTGTAGAATTCACTGTTCCCATCAGAGTTCACTGAGAAAAAGAGACTGCTCTGTGATTGCACCTTCACTTGCTCACCAGTGAACTTTAACAGGGATCATTCCATGGCCCTGGGGCAATTTGTCTTTGTGGCCTCTTAAAGGAGGCCTTGGAAAATAATAAATGTTGTCAGATAAGGTTGCAGACACTTCAGCAGCTCTTTGAAAATTCTGAGTCAGCTTGCTTTAAAATGTTTAAAATCAGAAAATTCTGTGTGTATAGGAGACTGAATATGAGAAATATTTTCTGAATTAATAGTTTCTGCAAAGACTGAAGTATAGTGCTAAGCAGTAGCCCCAGTTATGTCACTTTTCTTGCCTTCACTTGCCTTTATTGCTTTGTTTTTAGATCTGTCAGTGGAATTTGGAACTGCTATAGTTTACACATGCGAGAGAAGCTGCTGGCCAACAAATCACCAAACCCCTCTTGAAGAATTTATTTTTGTACAAGAAGACCCAGATCAGAAATTATTTAAATAAATTGTATTTCTCTACATAGATGACAAGTCTGTTGGGTGATTTTTCTGTTGTGTTTTGTTTGTGTTTTTTTTTTTTTTTTAACTACAAGGGAAAGTGTGTAATAGTGCAACAATCCAATTGTGCTGCTTTAATTTCAAACTGTTTGCATTCTTCTCTGGCATTCCCTGTTGGTTTGGGCTAAATTGCACTATCTAAATTGACTGAATGGAGGAGTAATTTGAATCAGTGTCCTTAGAGCATTCTGTACAGGTTTAATGCTGCAGCATAAATTAGTGCTGTAAAAGTGTGTGCCTAAAATAATGGGAGGGGGAGACACAGACAAGAGGACAGCCTGAAATGGTGGAATGTGCTTGCAAAGCTACTTTTTAAAGGAAGAATTGCAGCTTATGACATCAACTTCTAGAGAAGAGTTAGTTAACTTAGGCTGAGTAATAATAATAATTATACAAAAAAATTAAATATAAATATGTTAAATTGATTAAAAATATCATAGAATATGCTGAGTTGGAAGGGACCCATCAGGATCATCGAGTCCAGCTCCTGGCCCTGAACAGAAGGATCCCACCATGAGAGCGTTGTACAAATGCTTCTTGAACTATCTATGTAGTAATATGAGACATAAATATAGTTATTATCTGAATCTAATATAGAAATATATAATCCGTATAACCATGCTATATAAATAAATATATAAACACATTACTTACATAGTAATCTTGAATATATAAGCATATTAAACATGGATATTTAAAACATGACTATATTCAGAATAAACAGAGGCAGAGCTGCCGTGGTGCCCGGGACGCTGCCGTGGGTGCCCCGCGCGGTCCTGTCCCCCGTGGGTGCTCCCGTGGTGCCCGGGGACGCTGCCGTGGGTGCTCCCGCGCGGTCCTGTCCCCCGTGGGTGCTCCCGCACTGTCGGGGCCGGGCGCGGGGCGTTCCCGGCGGGCGCGGGACTCGAACCCGCGGCTACCCCGGCCGGCCCTGCCGCGCGGTCCTCCCGGCCGGCAGGGGGCGCTGCGTGCGCGGGCGGCGCTCCGCCCCGGCGGGCCGTGAGGAGGCGCGCGGAGCCGCCGCCGTGTCGGTCATGGCGGCGCCGCTGTCGGGGCCGCTGCGCCCCGAGCTGGCCCAGGCCGTGTCCCAGGCGCGGGTGCTCGTGGTGGGCGCGGGCGGCATCGGCTGCGAGTTGCTCAAGAACCTGGTGCTCACCGGCTTCAGCAGCATCTACGTGGTGCGCGGCGGGCGGGGCCGGGGCGGGCGGGCCGAGCCCGTGGGGGCGCTCGGCTCGGTGCGGGCGCGGGGCCGGCGCGGTCGCTCACCGCCGCGCTGCGGGGCCCGACCGGGCCCGCCCGGCACGGCTCGGCACGGCCGCCGCGGCACCGCCGGGCCGGGGGCGCCACAAAGGGCCGCGGCCTGCGCGCCATCGCCGCCCTCGGCCCGGCCCCGCCGCGCCGCCTCCCCCGGCACGGCCCGGCCACCCGGGGACCGGCCCGGCCACCCGGGGACCGGCCCGGCCACCCCGGGGACCGGCCCGGGCAGCGCCGGGGAGCCCCCGACACTCCGCGCTGGCCGCCCCTGCTGCCCGGCCGTGCCCGGGGAGCCTGGGCTGTGCCCCGTGCCGGCGTGCGGGGGTGGTCGGGGGTGAATTGGAGCGAGGAAAACCCGCGGGGAGGAGAATTGTGTGTTCCATACCGGGCTGTAAAACCGTCAGCGCTGGCACCCGGTCACGGCGTGTCCCGCGGGCTCCTGCTTTCACTTTTGCTTCCAGATATTCACCTGAAAGTGGGTGGGAAGGGCAGGTGTGAGAGGAGGGGGTGATGGAAAAGGGATAGAGAGAGATGCTGTCGGCAGAACTTTTGTTAGCCGGTGTCCAGCCCTGTATTGATTCCTTACTGTAGTCAGGAGCAGCTATGGATTCAAATCCAGCTGGAGCACAGGCTGTTCCCTTGAGTCCCTCTGTCCTGCAGAGAGTGCCAGGGGTCACACCCGGGAGTTTGGTGTGCCGGGCTGGAGGAGTTCGGGGTTGTGCTCGCACTGGCTGAGCAGAGCAGCTCGTAGGACAACAGCTCCTGGTTTACCGTGTTAGCCCTACAACTCAGGCTTCCCCACTGACATATTCTTCAAACTTGTAGAATGTGTTTTAAGTGTAATTCCAGAAAATCCCTTTTTTAAAAAGCCTTTCTAATTTGAACATTGCAGCAGGGAAATAAACTGTAGAAGTTTAGAACTGTGTTCCCCGGTTTTTCCCTACCTTACCAAGTCAGCTGTGTCCTCCTGCAGCCCATTACAATGGAGTTTAACAGCTCCTGATTTTCCAGTTGTTCATTAGGCATAAATCTCGTGCTTATTGTTTCACTTATTATAATTTAGGTTGTGGTATTGTCTTTCGAGGCTGCCTTGGATGGACTCCATCAGAGCTGTGCTCATTTAACAATATCCCTGGCAGTGTTCCATGCAGGACAATAATAGTTTATTAACATAGGGAAGGGGTGGGTAGGAGACAAGGTGAGAGCAAAAAAATAATAGTTATGCAAAGAGGGAATTTGCTATTGGGAGAAGAAATTGCTTTTGTCAATATCTGTGATGTTGTTGAGGGTTTTCCTTGCTTGTTAAATACTAACAGACTTGAACACCTGAAAATGCTTTGTATTTTTATAAGTTGTGATTTAAAAAAAAAATCAACCTAAAAAAGACCTTAGTAATTTAAAATACCAGATAGCTCACAAATATGTGACTTAAATATGCTGTGTTGAAAGGCTGTTGTCCTCGGGAATGGAGAACAAAATGAAGTTCCTCGATATCCAGGGCTGAGTTAAGAACATGATGTGTGTTCTTAAGCAGTTCTGATGCCTTTTCTTCCAGCTGACTAAAATGGTAGCAGTGCAGAAGTTGCTTGATAAGTGAACTGTTAAATTCTGATCATTTTGAGCTGGACTGGAGCTTCTGTTGAGGTCTAATGGTCCAATTTTCCCTCTGGAGAAAACCTTCCTTTGCCTCCTTGACCCTGTTTTTGCTGTTTGCAGTGGTGTTTTGTGTCCCTCTGTGCTCATCCCCAGTTAAATACTCAAAGTTTTCTGGGTAGTGGAAATTTTAACAGAGTTTTGCACTTAACTGTTTTCCCTTGAGGTTCTTGGGCTTTTTGGCTCTGGACTAAACAAGCTTTCTGAGTGTGTCTCAGGAGAAAGAAAGGAGGTAGAAATGTGAACTCTTGAGCTGTTGCAGTTCTTGGTATATTAGAGCTTAGTCCTTAAATGAAGGGTATTCCCTTCAGAAAACAGGAATTTTAATCTTGCAGGTTGGATCTTGCATGCAAAGGATGTTCCATAAGTGTGTGCCATGGTTTTTTCATAATCCATAAACTGGGGAGTGTCTGAGAACACCCTCAGTGTCACATTTACCCTTCCCACTGCACGGTCAGGCTGAGAGGAGGGTGCAGTGGAAGGGTGACTGTGTTGGGTTTGTCACCATTATCCGTGGGAATTGGGAGAACCAGCTCTGATACTCTGAAAAACTTTCCCTCCTCCTGGTTACAACTGTTAAGGACAGCAGAGCACTTCTAGAAAGAGTCAGTGAGCAGAGAAACTGTTTAATTAGAGGAAAAGCAGTAACAAAGCAAGGAATAAATGTCAGAGTTCTAGTTAACTCTTAATTCTGGTGGGGGGGGGGGGGTTAAAGGCACTTGAATTTTTACTGTTCCTGTGCCTGTATTAATAAACAGGAAGGTGGCTTTTAGGGGACCTGCAGACATGGCATCCCCTGAGGTTGTAAAACTCGAGTGTTCTGTGCTGGATGTTTTTAAACACCCTGATTGTGTGATTGGGTTTTTGAACGTGCCCTTGGGCAGTTAGTCCTGTGACACACAGTAAAACTTGTGCCCTGCAGTGTGTGTGTAAGGTGGTGATGCAGCCCTTGGTTCAGCGATTCAGCTGCCCAAAGCCACGTTCATTGATAAACTGGTTGGTTTGGAGCAGCCTTTCCTGCACCCTGGAGAGGCACAGAGCAGGGTGGGATTCCTGAAGATAGTGAAGTGGTCACTTGTGCCTCTCCAGCTGCCCTAGTGCAGATGTGACACCTGAAAAGGGGTCTGTAAAGTTTGTGCATTTTGGGCAGTCACCTTCCTTCAAATTCTGCTCATGATTTTGTTCCTTTTGTGCCTGTGAAAGTGAAATGCCTCTCTTGTGTGTTTGTAGATTGATTTGGACACTATTGATGTCAGCAATCTCAACAGACAATTTCTGTTTCAAAAGAAACATGTTGGAAGATCAAAATCCCAGGTGAGGAAAAAGTCAAAGCTCAAGTCTTCTTGCTCAGTGTTATTTTATGGATAGTGTTAGAAACTTGGCCCAGTTTAGTTTCTGCTGTGCAGAGGTAAGTGTTGGTTGGTTGGTTGATCATGCCTATCCACAGCATTTCATTAGAAAAGTATTTAAATCTCTTAAGGTAGCCAACTTACTCGATACTCAACTGGTATCAAGTCTGTCTTTAGAAGGAAGGAAGAAATAATAAGTGTTTTTTTTGTTTTCTTTTTTGTTTGTTTCGTTTCTAGGTTGCCAAGGAAAGCGTGTTACAGTTTTGTCCAGAAGCTAATATTATAGCTTACCATGATAGCATCATGAAGTATGTTGGGTTTTAAGCTCTAATTCCATGGTTTGATTTGCAAGTGCTGTGTTATTTAAATGCTACACTGGTGTGCTTTAAGGTATTTCACAAAGCTTCCTCAGTAAGGAGAAGTAGCTGTAAATGTGAGCCTGCCACACCCCTGAGTGTGGATTTTGCATGAGTTTCAAGCTCTGGTAGTAAGCTGTAGTCATTTGCTTGTGTCTGTTTTTCATTCTATTAGCAACATTTGCCACGTAAGATTCCACACTGTAAGAATGCCCTGATGTCTCGAGCAGTAATTACATTAAAAGAAATGCAAGTGTTGAGTCTGTGATTAAAAAAAATAAGTCCTTTTTGTGTGTGTGTGTGTAGGTAACTGTTGTTTATATATGCCCCAAACTGTTATAATTTAGTCTTTG